GTGTGTGTGTGTGTGTGTGTGTGTGTGTGTGTGTGTGTGTGCGCGCGCGCGCGCGCGCACGGGCGCGCTGTCCTGTCCGAGACACCTCTTCCCCAGCTCGGAAGGCCAGCTGGCACCCTTGCCCCACTCCCTACAGCACATATCAACAGTGCCTCCAATTCTCCAGAGGACATCAAACACTCCCACACATTACCAATGTCCCCGCTGCCTTAGACAGGCAAATCCAGGAGCCTCTGCTTTTACCCGGTGATATTACTAGTTTGGGAGGATCAAATGCATTGCAAGTCTTTATAACCTTAAAAGAGCTATCTGAATGGCATCAGGATGCACAGCCTCACGGCAAAGCTGGCGGGCTGGCCGGCTGGGTCCCAGGCGGCCTCATTACAGTCTTCTCAATCTAACCAAACACGAGCACACGAGACGGCTGCTGACTCTGAAAACACTTCCCCTAAGTGAGCAATCTGGGCTTCTACGTGTTGCTACAGATTAAAGCCACACTATGGCATTGAGTTTTAGAGTAAGGGCGGATGGCAAAACCATGGGCTACGGTAGATGAGCAGGGAAGCATGCTAGAAGCAGCTTCATGGGATCTGGTCCAGGTTGTTGCCCAAACTATCCTGGAGTGAAAAGGACACCTGCCTTGGTGAGTCAGTGATAAAGGGACTGTGGATGACTTCCACGATCAGGGTTACAAAACAATGCAGAAGATGCCACCCTGTCCCCCTACACACAGGCTGGTTTCCAGTAACTACTCTGGGCATCTCTTTAAACTCTGGCAGAATGTTCTAGAAAGGGAATCTTAGAGGCTGGGCCAGATTACAACATACAAAGTCTCTTCAAGTGTCAGTGCTGAGCCAAAGCTGAGATGGGGCAGGAATTCCTGACTTAGTGCTATAAATGGACAGTTTTGTCACGGACACTTACCACAGATAAAAGTGTTTTTTATACTGTGTCACCTGTTTACCTCTGAGACTTCCGTACACCCTCCACGTTCCATTCATCTAAAGACATGGCTCGACAACACAAAGTCTCTAAATCTCTGAGCCCGGCCATCTGAAGTGAGGCTTTCAGCCTTCTCTTGTCTGGCTTTCCAGAACACATTTCCAGGGCATTCATGTGAGAGGAAAGGAAACGAGAAAGGGACATAGAGTACCATAAAGCCAAGAGCATCCTACTAAAGCTTTCAGTAAGCACATATTCACGTCCTCAACATATGCCACACCCTTTCTGGGAAGATATTACTGGCCTGGAAGCTGGGTTAGTGTAACCTAAAATACACCACACAAAAAGCACAGTTACCCTCCCAAAATAGGCCCCATAATTAAGTCAAGCCATCTCAAGAGAAGTGTTCTGTGTTGCAGCCTGACATATGTTGCTTTAATCTCCCAGCTTCAGTAAATGCAGCCATACTGGGCTGCTGCAAACGTGTACAGCAGCTCCCATTTAAGCCAGATTGTGGTGTCACTAGCAAATGGATGCAAATAAACAGCCCTGTGAACCAAACTACTCTGTCTCAATCATCTGTAATGAGACCCCTCTCCTCCCTAAGCACATTTCCATCACACCGGAATCACTACCATCGACTCAGGAGGAGGACCACTCAGACCGCAATACCATCTCATCTGCAGACAGACACACCTGAGGAAGCTGGGCTGACGTCTACAGCATGAGACAGACAGCCCCGGCTATAGATGCTGAGAGCACGCCGTGAGAAATTCCCTTTCCTTCTGTGGACCTGTTCAGTATGATCTGTCTGTCTGAGCAAAACCTCATTAGATCTGTTTTTGCTTAGAATCGGGAGGAAGCCTGACTCCTAACGAAGTCAGGAAGCTTCATGAAGGAGGTAGCTTCTTGGTAGCCATCTCAGGCCTCTGCATTCTGAGCCCTTTACAGGTGGTTACATGTATAATATAATTAGATATTAAAATATTTTAAAATATAAACCCTCTAAACAGTGGGCACTTTAGGCATTTTGCTAACATTTGGGGTTATTTTCTGGGTTTGGGCATATGTGCTGCTGTCCTGTGTATTGCAGGGCATTTAGCAGCATCCCTCACATCACCAAACACCCTCTAAGGCAAGGTGACCCCAGATGAGAACCACGTTCTCTATGCACTTATCTCTCACCCTGATAAGGCCCAGAGGTGAGGGAGAATCTTGGCTTTCCAAGATATTCACAAGTTGTAGTTTTAACAATCTTAAATGTATCGACTCATAATGAAGAGTCAGAATCTGAGGAAGACTTGTACCTCAACAGATTCAAACACAGCACTCTGCCGTCTCAGCTCAGAGTGCCAGGACACAGAGGATGACATATTTGCTCCTCGGAGCTCCTGGACTTCTCCCCTTCCAACAGTTCTGTTCTTAGAAGACTACTCAACAGAAAGCCTCTTCCAAGCATCACTGGGTGCTCAGTATGAGAGTAATGGATGAGAAGAGAGTTTGGGGCTGGCTATCTACTAACATCATCTTCAGAGGCAAGGCATCCCCAGTTCCTGATACGTACAGTGCCTCGGTGCTGGGCATCCGCAAGAGAGGAACTGTAAAGCAGGAGCCTCTTCTAAGAGCTTCCCGGGGTGGTGCGGGCCGTGGACATAACACCAGAGGAAAAAAGATGTAAGAAGGGGAGCTGGTCAGTTTAGTCCACAGGAGGACAGGTGGCAGAGGAAGAAGAGCATCTGGACATGGTGGACCGGTGTGTGGGACAGTGAGGTGATGGGGGGGGGGGCACACGACACAACGAATACTTCAGTGCTCATCACATCCGTCCAGGGGCCAGACACTGTGGTGGCAGGAAGGGCTCAGCCTAAGTCCCGCCCCCCACACAGCCCGATGTAAGGAGCAGGCTGCTTCTTTCTTTCCACTCGCCCGCATCCCACTCTCGTTTCAGTGAGTTAACTGTCCTCTGTCTAAGAGGCCATTCTTTCCATCCTTCATTCACAACAACAAAACCCCCTCTCTACTGTACAGTTCTGTGAGCTTTCACAAAAGCCTACATTTGCATGAACGCCACCACAACCAAGATATGGGACAGTAGGATCAATTCTCAAACAGTTTCCTTGTGTCCCCTAAGTGTTTATTATTTTATTTTTCGTTAAGACGAAACATCTGGGTTCAGTACAATGATTTAATGCACATACACAGTGTCTAGTGATCAAGTCAGAATGAGTATTCCAGCTCCTCAAAAGCAAATACTTCTACATGCTTGGAACGTTTGCGTTCTTTTTCTAATTGTTCTGAAATATTATCCTATATTGTAGTAATCAGTACTTCCCTAGAGGGCTGGAGAGACCAGGCCTAATCCCTCTGTCTCATGCCTCATGTATCAGCAAGCTGCCTTACCATAAGCAAGTTCCTTATCTCTGAGAGGACTTGTACCCCCGGTTAGAAATTTTGTTGAAGAGACTTTTTGGCTCTTTAGAGATTATCATAGAGATCTCCTGAGGTCATGTCCATGATTCATGAAACAGAAACGTGTGACCTTAACATCAACACCCCTCTGCAGTGGCATGGCTGATTCTCCCCCAAATGCAGGTAAAGGCTTCACCCCAAAACCAAATTCTTGGGTCTCTATGAAGCTACATGACCATGGAAGGTAAAATGCAAAAAGGTTTGGAAATAAAAGCCTGCACAAACCAAAAGTATCATTTCCTCACTGCTGTCCCTTCTTACTCATGTGGATGGAAATGGTATCATACTTTAACCAAAAGCTCCAACAACGTGACCTCACTCGGTTGCAAGGTGGCAGGAAAGGAAGCCAAGTTAGCTGTGCTTGTCTGAGAACGGCTTCCTGGGG